TGGCAGAGGTGGCACTGTGCTGGGTAACCGCGCCGGTGAGGGGCTTCGACCTTAACACGCGACAGGCCGCACACAGTACGTACCTCGCGGAAAATGGCCTTCGCCTCCGGCACATTGATGAGAACGAGGAGGGCGAGGTTAAACCTTTCGCCCCTGCTGCTGTGCATTTTATGCACACCTTCAATGGGGAAGCCTTGGGATTTAAGGTCTTCCAGAATGTCTTCGTTTGCGAGTTCATAGGGAACTCCGCGGAGGACTGCCTTGACTTTCCTTTCTTCGGCGAGGGCGTATGTGTGGTAGGACACACGCTCGGCCGTGAATAGGCGGGTTATGTTACGGAAGTCTTCTATAGACGCCGGCATAATTTTGATGGCCTCGCCGACATTAGTGGCTTGGTCATATTTGAAACCCTTATCGTAGAGGGTTTTGGACAATTGAGTGAATTTCGCCTTGTCTCTGAGAAAGACAGGGGGCGGGACTTGGTTTTTGGCCAGCTCGGGAGCGCAGCGGGTTGCTGGCTTGGCGGTATTGTCTTTCGACTGTGAGGCGGCAGCGTTTGGGGCTGCGGAAGTAGGGGCAATGATGGGAGCTGCGGAGGTAGAGGCAGCGGCGGAGGGTGTACGGGCGGCGGCGGCGGCCGCCGGGGCGGGGGGAGTGCGGGAAGTCGCGGCGCGTTTCGGGCCGCGCTTTGATTTCACTAGCGTGAATGGGGCTGTGTCGGTTATAGTTCCTTCGGAGTCAGTTGAATCCGAGGAGCCGGTGGAGCTGAGGGCGGACCTCTTCCGGGAGGAGGAGGTAACGGACGTGGTGCCCGAGTGCTCCATATCGGAGTCGGGGTACGCGGGCGAGTCGGTCTGCGGGGCAGCCGCTTGGGTCGCGAGGAATGTCGCGACGGCGGGTGGGGGGACGCATGCCGTAGGGGCACGGGGGGTAAGATTGATCGAGAAGCTGTCAAGGTCTACGCCTTGGGTTTTTAAAAATTGGTGGAAAAGAGCCAAAATTTGGCTAGCATCCATGGAAGACATGTTGGTCGGACGGGGGGGGAGACGATTTGATTCTTATGAAACTAGAGGTCCCTGTTCTGAGAAGAACAGGGCCTTGGGGCAGATGGGGAGGACTAACGTTCTATTCCAGAAGCTGGGGTCCCTATGTTCTGAAAAGAACAAGGGCTCGCTCTGAGAAGAGCAAGAGACGATCTTCTCTAAGAACAGTATACACAACAAGTAACAGTATAACAAAACAATAACAGAAAAATTAAAAATAATAAAAACAAAACAAGCGAAGCGCGCTCAAGCCTCCCCGCCGGAGCAAGGGGGCAAGAACGATGCAAAAACAAAGTGACTCACCAACGGCGTCTGCTCGGCCGGTGTTAGCCGGGGAGAGCGGGGCGCGCGGGCAAGCGGTTGCGCTACCGAAGGGTCGGAGGCGCGAAAGAACTGTGTGCACGACCGCTCGGGGGCGGCGCGCAAACGGAACATTAGTCGCCTCAGCAGTCTGTTTATATACGTCTATGATGTTTTTCGCAGTACCTTATTTTTTCATGTAACTAAACACTGAATAGACCATTTGTCGGGATTATCTATTTAACACCGAATTCTTCCTTCTCTGCATATTTAGACCAAAATCTAAGCACTCAAATGATAACAACAAAAATAATTAAAAACAAGAAATAACAAAAACAATTAATAACAAGGAATACACAAACAACAATTAACAACGAGGTAACAAAAAAAATTAACGAAAATAAATTAATTAAAAAAAGTTATCACTAAAATTATTGCTCTGAAGTGTACGGAAGCCGAAAGATACGTTCGAAACCAATAGACGACGAGAATCGACTGATGAACCAATCACGTTGAACGTCAGCGTGGTCAACGTCGTATCGACCAATAAAAAGTGTGCTCACGACTATGTCGGCAATTATACATAATTATTATTTAATTAGATAAAGCGCGTTCGCAAGCCAAATAAAACTATCGCTGCGCGAGAGTGTCCGTATTTGCATCTTTTTTCCCCTTCGATCAACAATACATTGTTGATCGAAGTTTTTCCCTAACTACGTTACGGCGGACTTTCCATTTTTACTAAGGGATGTCAATGAAGAGTAACAAAATACATTGCGAAATGTTAATTTAGTTACTTAGGTGAAATACCTATTCTGACTATGATCGACTGACCATATTTTCGCACCTATGTGAGTTCTGCGATGCCTAACGCATGGAACTTGCAAGGCGTTGCAGCTCTTAGCTGGACCACGAGCGGGCGCAGCATGACCGCGCTTGTGGCCGTGACCTTGTTACGGCACAAATGTGCGCGGTGCGCTCATATAATGCGACTGCATTTAATTATTATGGGAATTATAGTATGTGTTTTTCCCACGGTAAGAATTATTATTATTTCTATAAAGAGGTCTAGATGCGTTATGACGAAAATTCATTATTTGTTCACCACTGGAGGACATTGTTTGTTAATCCAGAGCAGTGCGAATCGCCTCTGAAAGAGAATCAAATTCCTTTGACGCAATAATAATACTCAGCCTTAGGTTAGCTAATCCATCAGCGAAACGCTTTATTGCTACTTTTTCATTTATAGAGCGAAGAATTAAATACTTTGAACTGTTGCCACCGGCTTACGCTAACGTCAAATTAGAAAAAATATCTTCTAGTTCATTAGGTACCAAACGCCTCAATTGACCTATGACCCTCCTTAACGTTTTGTAAGTGTGCTTGCAAGACAGCAACTGCAGACTTTTTCTGTACCAATTCAATGAATCAACAGTACCGTAGCATTCTTTTAACCGCAGCTTAGCGTTAAGTGATAGCCTCGTTTTTATAACAAAATCTATCAATGATTTTTGGACGCTTCGTCAAGTTTAGAGATTTTGAGGTGGTCGCTTCCAAGCAGTTTCTACAATAAATTTTGTAAATATTTTGTGACCATTGGCATTGTAAAATTTATTTTTAAAAAACAAAGTCCCGCTGGATTTCTTGATGGTTATTCCCAGTTCCCAGGATAGAGGTTTTTTCCGATCCGGTGGTAAAGTAAAAAATTGACTTTCAATAAGAATTACTTGTAATCTATATTGAATAATAAAATATTCTATTCTATTCTAGAATTATCTTAGCTTGACCAGTCATGATAGGAATCAAACTGATCGCTGTTTTAAAATCAAAAGATAATTTGTCAGCCATAGTTGCAGTTTCGGAACCTTTACTCGTAGTGTCTGAAATATGACTCGTAACTAAATTATTTATTTCACCGTAAATTACATGTATATCTAATCGTTTTTTAATAATACCTTCAGCAATTATCTCAGATTTATCTATATCCGATGTTACTTCAGACAAAATATGCTCAAGTGACAAAAAACTACATCCGCTTCGTTTTGCTTAGTTTGACCTATTTCTTTCTTTCTACGCTCAGGTCCAATTTTAGTTAAATAAACTTTTATATCTTGCATTTTACTGTGTACCTAACTCTACAAATTTTTTGACATTACGAACTAGCACAGAATATTAAAATAAATAAGGACAATAATTATTTTCTCAATTATACCTACATACTTAACATAAATTGTTATAATATATTAAGCACTTTCTTGCAAATCATTTAAAACACACGAATTTTCGGAAACAAAACCATAGTCACTCCATAAATCGAGATCCAAGTTATCGCGTTCACGAGCGGGTAGGGGTCCGTCACGTACACTTTTTTCCGGAATCAGCTGCTGCAGTGTCGCGTATTCCTGATGCCCATGCTGGAACTGGCTCCTATCCATTCCGCGGTGTAGTCCTTTGGGAGAGGTTAGATGTCATTTGATCCTTTGTCTTTATTTAAATCGTATTACATAGCCGAATACAATGTAATGCATGAATCTAAGCTAATGCAAATAAGTAACCTATTATAATATACTTTACTCAGAAAGTAGCATTTAATAAAAAATGATGAATCCTATTATATAATCTTTAAGAAACAATGAAAGACTCAATGAGATGTTTATTACGTGGTAGAGTCACGTTGCAGCTATATTATAGTAGTTGTAGCACAAATGGGTCGGCTCGATCGGGTCAGTACCACGCTCTCACAGAATACCGGCGTAAAATAGCAGTGTAATGCTGTGTTTCGAAGGGTGAGTGTAGAGAACCGGAGACGTCTATGGGCCACAGCATCCACTTACCATCAGGTGGACTGTGTGCTCGTTTGTCACAAAAAAGTTTTCACTTCAAAGTACGGCGCCCTGGTACGACCAAAAAATACTTGCAAGTATGAAAGTATGTGTTGTATGTCAGATGCTCGAAGAACTTGAACACTACACATGAAAATTCTTGCATAGGAAAATGATCCGTATCCCAATAGGAATAAGAAACTCAATCGTATTTGTGAATAAGAAATACTTTTGAACTTCGTAAGTACTTTTTTATTTATACGACTTTGATCCTTATTCATACTGGGATAATATGGAATACGGGCCGAATTCCTATGCAAGTGTGTTTTCAAATTTTTGACACCGCGGCTGGACACGTCGCTAGCGTCGTCGCGGGGCTCGCTCGACGCGTTGGTAGGGAGGGACGAGGGGGGGGGGGCAAGGAGTAGGTTGTCGAGTCCAAGCAAGTATTTTTGACGAAGGACGAGCATAATTGCGTAAACATGCTATTCAGAAAATTTCTATTGACTATTTCGCACCATTCACCCTTATATCTATATGTAAAAGAAACATTATTGCGTGTATTTTACTTATTTGTGAGATTAAGATTCCGTAACCTACTGACCGTAGTGTAATTTTTAAATAGATAGTTATTTCGCGTGTGAATTTAGTGACGTTTTTTAAACTTATTAATTTGTGTTTAAGTAGATAAATAAATAAAACTAAACATTAGTGTTTATTAGTTGGAAATGACGATTTTTAAACTGTTAATAGTGTGTAAATAGTTTTTTTGTGTAAAGATAGGTTTTTGTTTTTAATAGCAAATAGATCTACACGTACACACAAATCCATAAGTATGGCTCCTAAGAAAAGTTTGGCGTGGGATCATTTTGTGGACAAAGGAGAAAATAAAGCCGAATGCAAGATGTGCAAAGTAATTATATCGTACAAATCTGGAGTGTCAAATCTTACCAAACATGTACAGAGAAAACATATTTCTGTTGATTTAGTGAGAAGGGAGCAAGATGTGGAATGTCAAGAGGTACGGGCGCATGCTTCACAAAATATCTACACAATTAAGGACATCCAATACGCCACTGCAAATTAACGCACCATCCTAAGCCTGTGATTTAAAAAGTAAAAGTAAAGATACCTATTCATTTCGTTAACAAAATAATTAAAATGTTCGATCAAAATTGTGGCCCGACTTGAATTAGTCATTCATATATAGGTAGGTATATTGATACTAACAAATACTTTCAAGAATTTTTAAACCCTGGTATTTTTCCATACTCGTACTTAAGGTATCGTAAATAAGGGCTAAGCTTTCCATTGACGTCCGTCGAGTTGGGGGTTGATTTTTTTTTTACAGAAAGGTTACATTAATATAAGCACACACGTAAAGTTTCAACATGCGGAAAAGCGTACTTTTTGAGAAAAAATTATTGAAAATCAATTATTTTTGGAATATTTATGTTAATCCCTATCTCAGATTACATGATATTTTTTTACAGAAAGGTTACACTATTGTAAGCACACACGCAAAATTTCAACATGCGGAAACGATTACTTTTTGAGAAAAAAATTATTGAAAACCAATTATTTTTATAATATTTACGTCAATCCTTACCACAGATTACATCGAATTCTCGCCATTGAACGTTCGTTTTCCGTACGGTTAAGTTGTCATAAGTTCGGTAGCATTTTTTTGTACATTTTACATAAATAATTATATTTTGTACTCATTTAAATACTTTTCATGCATACACATATATTTAACAGTTTATATTTAAATTACAGAATTATTATCATTATGAGCTATTACAATTAAAATGTGTAGTGTTTACCTACCGTTTTTTGCCGGCTTGTGGGACGTAACGTAAAACTGACGATTTCTAAGAATTAATTAAAGCAATATGTGTATAAAATTGTATAAAACATGTGTATAAAAACAGTACCCACCTATTAGGACAGATAACAAATAAAATTGGTTAGGTTCAACTTATGTCAAGGAACGATTAACGTACGAGTCTGTCCTACCCCTAGAGTGTTTTTATAGAGCCGGAGGCGCGTAGGGAGAGCAGCCTCCGCCTCGTCCGATGCCTACGATTTGTTACGCAAAGGCGTAGAGGCTGCTCTTCCCGCAGCGCCGGAGACGTTGCAGTCTCAAAATAGATACAGAAATCCCTCTGAATGAGTCCCTCTATTTATTTTTGGTGATGGGGGTTCCCCCTTAATTAGGGGGTACCCCCTACCGCCCCCAAGAGGTCCCCATGGTTTTTTACACTTAATATTTATCCATAAAAAATAAAATTTCCTCAGAATTAAAATTGAACAAACTCAAAAAAGGCTCCGCAACTTTTCCTTTTAACCTCCTCACTACAGGGACCACTTTTTATGTCATATTCAATTCATATTCGGGATTTAAGCTGTTTAGGGGTTACTTTTTAACTGAAAAATTACTGAAAAAATCTAGTCCCGTAACAGAGTTTTTCCTTATGTCCTGCCACTAGGACAGATGCAGGCTACTTATATTTTCAGGACTATTTTATGTTCTGCATACAAGACAATTACAGCCAATGTGAGTATATTATTGTATAATGAAATAAGATAAGCCCATAAAGTACTCAATTTTTTATTGAAAAGACATATTATTAAACTTTAAACTTAACTTCTTCGTTATTTATTTTGAACAGATAATATTTTTATAACATTACTTATTGATTTAAATTGTACATAAAATCAGTCTCAATAAGTCAGTCATCAACAGTTATAGAATCCTAACTAGCATACAAACAATAAAAATTGACGCCATTTGCGTAGCTATAATTGAAAAATAAGAAAATAAAGCCTCTGAAAATAATTATGGATTATGAAAAGCTTCAAAACAGTTTCTCTGAGCCGTGAAACATAAATACACAGCACATTTTTTGCAGGTAACTGTATTTTTTTGTAACAACCCTCATTTCTGCATCTATTTTGCTTTGAACTGTGTTGTGGCATGTGATTAGCTTTTTTTTTTGACGAATAGCTTTAGTTGGTAACGGAACTATAGTAGACTTACGTTTCTTGTGCTTTGGTAAAAGTTCTTCAAACTCATCAGCAGGGTCATCTGTGTCTAAGTTATCAGCAGTTAACTTCTCACCAAGTTCCATCTTAAATTCACGTATGCCTATAACGTTTTTAATGCCTTTTTTTCTCTCTCTGTTTGAACTGAAGGTATGAGTTAGCAACGGCCAAGTCTATCATATGAGAAATTAATCGTATTGTCCACTTTTTTATACTGTTACATGAAGGGCGTACAGCTAGCATTCTACCAACTAAATCTACACCCCCCATATTTTCGTTATATTCTTTGATAACTTTGGGGCGTCTTACACGTTCATACACTTTGTTTTTCTTCGACCATCTTTCACACTCATCTGCATGTCTATTAGATAAACGCGTTGACATCACCACGGGCTTATTGTCCATCCAACGTGTCACTGCCATCTTGCTATCTACTCGTGTTTTTATTTCGCAATAACCCCGTTACTTTTTCATAAAACTCTTATCTTCTTCCATCATACAGTTTTTGGGCAATCGGTTTCTCATAATTGGTCCAGTCGCGTGAAAACCTTTATTCAATAATTCATCACACAATTTGATAGTGGTAAAATAGAGATCAAAAAAGATGTGGTGACCAGGGACAAGTGCTTCGATCAGCCGAAGAATAGCTGCTTCTCCGAGACCAAAACCCATCTGTCTAATTTCTGGAAAAGTTGTGTTTCCTTGATATATCTCGAAATCTATAACCATTCCCTGAGGCGTTGCTAAAACAAATACTTTTAAACTACTCTACAACCTATGTGTTAGTCATGGTTACTTGCCTGATACAATGATGAGGACAGTGGTTGTACCTATCCTTAAGAATAGGACGGGCGATGCAGCGGATGAAACCAACTACAGGCCGATATCCTTAGCGACCATCTCGGCTAAAGTTCTGGATAGTCTGCTTGATACACAGTTAAGTAAGGCAGTAAAGTTACATGACGCACAGTTCGGGTTTAGGCCCGAACTATCAACGGAGAGCGCAATACTGTGTCTCAAGCAGACTGTGCGGTACTACACGGACAGAAAGACTCAGGTGTATGCGTGTTTCCTGGATTTGTCTAAAGCCTTCGACCGTGTGTCTTACAGAATCCTATGGCGGAAACTAAAACAGGAAAGTAGTTTAAGACCGGAGTTGGTTTCACTACTGGAATATTGGTACGGTAATCAGACTAACACAGTTAAATGGGGTAACGCCTTTAGTGACCCCTATAAACTAGAGTGCGGAGTGAGGCAGGGAGGACTGACGTCACCCAGGCTGTTTAATCTTTATGTTAACAGACTGATTGAGAGGCTCAGCAGAGCAGGTGTCGGTTGCTCAATAGACGGTGTTTCGATGAATAACTTTAGTTACGCAGACGACATGGTTCTGTTGAGCCCCTCAGTCAGAGGGCTTCGTAAACTGTTGAGAATTTGTGAAGAATATGCCGAGGAGACTGGACTCATCTACAACTCAAAAAAGAGTGAATTTATTGTCTTCAGAGGTAAAAACAAACCACGTATCCAGCTATGTGGCACGGCTCTGAGACAAGTGGCTGAGTTTAGGTACCTCGGACACATTGTAACTGAACGCCTGGATGACGACAGCGACATTGAACGAGAGCGCCGAGCGCTGTCGGTTCGGGGCAATATGTTGGCTCGCAGATTTGCACGTAGTACGACACAAGTCAAGTTAACTTTGTTCAAGGCGTATTGCCAATCCTTTTACACGTGCAGTCTGTGGACTAACTATACGCAGCGAGCCTACAGTGCTCTGCGTGTTCAGTACAACAATGTGCTGAGGATAATGTTGAGGAGGCCTCGACACTGTAGTGCGTCGGCAATGTTTGCGGATGCTCGTGTGGACGACTTCTACGCGATCATGCGCAAGCGTGCTGCGTCCATGATGAGCAGGCTATTAAGGAGCTCCAACACCCTTCTCAGCACATTGGCTGTGAAGCTGGATAGCCCTCTCTGGAGAATTTGGAATGGTGCACACACCATTTTTTGGGGAAAGAGGGCGCAGGCGGCTAAGTGCCGCTGAGGGAGTGCCTACGAAGGCAAATTAATGTTAGTTACTACAATAATTTAATTTAATTAGAGTTGGCCTGAGCCGCCAGGAGACAGTTCAGGTCGTTTGACAGTTTATTAGGCGGGTCCGAGAGAGAGTTTCTCGGCCTGCGGACACGATAGCGAGAGGGGGGGTGGGGCTGCATAAGAAGCCGCTCACGAATTAAATGGTTTGGGTGCGACTCTGAGGCTTTGAAGAAGTTCTCAGAGTGTTTTTTAAAAAATTGTTGAATTGTTGGGAGCTCTAAGTCCCGATGAAGGTCGGCATTACGGACGTACCAAGGTGCGTTCGCAGCTCGACGACAGAAGAGGTTCTGTGTCGAGCTGCGACATTGGAGTCAGAACTATTTGGAGTTCATTTAAAATATTAGGGTTTGCGTGGGCAAAGACGGGGCCCGCGTAGGACATGACTGGTCGTATACAGACCTTGTAAAGGGTACGCTTGTTTCGAAGGGACATTTTACTGTGTCGGCCCAACATACTGTTAAGCCTACTCAGATAAAATCGTGCGTGACGGGTTACTCTTTTGACGTGGGGCTTGAAAGTGAGCCCTGTATCTAGAGTGACACCTAAATATTTGGCGGACGTATGCCAGGGGACAGGGGTCCCTAGCATACGTATTGGTGGAGTGTTTTTGAGACGGCGTCGTTTATAATCGAAGTGAACGGCGGAGCTCTTCTCCGGGTTCACATCGATGCGCCATTTTTTGAAGCAAGCTCCTAGGTCATCAACTGACTTTCGGATCTTGTTCCGTATGAAGGGTAGTGAGACACCTTTGCAGTAGATGGCGGTGTCGTCTGCGAAGAGGGAGAGTTGAACACCTTTCGACGGGATGGGAATGTCGTTGGTGAACAGGATGTACAGCAGAGGAGTAAGTACTGAGCCCTGAGGGACACCAGCCTTGATAGTTCGCTGTGAAGAAAGCGCGCCTTCGTGTCTAAAACGAAAGGTACGATGTTTTAAATAGGAGGCCACGAGACGAACTAGACGATCGGGGAGACCTATTTTGTAGAGCTTGTAGATGAGGCCTGTGTGCCAGACTCTATCGAAAGCTTTAGCTATATCGAAAAAGACAGCGATGGTCTTATGACGACGAGGGTAGAAACCGCTGAGGATACATTCCACAATGCGGTGAACTTGTTGGGGACATGAGTGTTTGGCTCGGAAACCGAATTGATGGGGAATGATAAGAGGGTCGCCGTCTGTGGGAAACAGATAGCGCCTCATACGCGTTTGGATGACTCTTTCGAAGAGCTTGCCCATTGCCTTGAGGAGGCTAATGGGGCGATGGCTGGAGGGGGAGGTTGAGAGGCTTGCCTGGCTTGGGAATTCCAATCACAGTAGCCTCTTTCCACGTAGTGGGGAAATAACTGAGGTTGAAGCAGGCGTTGAAGATAATAGATAAAAAGGTTAACACCTGCTCAGGAAAGTGTTTTAGGGCTTGGTTGGAGATGCCATCCGCGCCCGGAGCCTTTTTGGGCTTAAGTCCTTTGATGAGGGATGAAATCTCATCATTGGACACAGAGATAGGTTCGGAGGCCGTAGGGGGTGAGTTCCGGCGGCGGACCTCATCCTCCACTGCCTGGACGTGAGAGGGGTCGACGGGTTGAGAACTAGGAGAGCATTGAGCGGCAATACTATCTGCAAAGCACTCAGCCTTTTCCTCGTCCTCGAAGGCAACCGTGCCGTCGGGACGGGAGAGAGGGGGAGTGTGCGCGTGAGTAATTAGCGTCTATGCGGAGGGCTCTAGCCATCTGATAGTACGCTGTGTGAGATGGAGAGATATTCTCCATGAGCTTACTCTTTTCGAGGTCTCGAAATTCAGAGAGGCGGAAGCGGAGTTCTCGTTGAAGACGATTGGCCGCGCGCCTATATTCGGGTGTGGGATATTTTGCTGCTCTCCGGAAAGCAGCTTTTTTGGCTTTTAATAGGTTGCTAATATGTAGGGGAAGCCCACTATTGTTAGCAACCGGGACGACCCTTTCGTTCTCCTTAAGGGAGGATTTAATAAGGGTGGAGAGTGAATCGACCGCGGTGTCGATTTTTTCGGGACTATCTCAGTCCGACGGTAGGGAGATGGTAGAGTCCTGTGAGTCCAAAGCTTTAGCTAGGGACTCCTTGAATCCCTTCCAGTTAGTGAAGGTTTTCGTGTGTGTTGGGGGAGGTGGCTGATGGCCAAGAATGAGGGAGACCGGTCGGTGATCTGATCCTAGATCGTCTAGTGTCTCGATTGCTCTGAGGTTGAGAGAAACTCCTTGGAGTAACGCAAAATCTAACACATACCGGGGGCGTGATCGGTGTTATCGGGAAAGTGAGTAACACCGAGAGGACTATGGACGGTAATATCAAGAGACTGCGTGATATCGAGCAGTATCTTGCCACTAGGGGACGTAGTGCGGCATGTCCATTCAGTATGCTTGGAGTTAAAATCTCCAAACATAATGACTGAATTGCCTAAAGATAAAATGGCCTCAAAATCTTTTTTGAGGGGATAGGTTCCTGAAGGGATGTAACAGGAGGCTATGAGGATGGACTGATGTCCAGTCATAGCTAGCCTGCATACCGTGGCTTCCATGTTGGTAAGTTGCGGAGTAGAAATGGGCGAGCAATGAAGTGAGGCTGGGTGTAGGTTAAGTTACTAATATAGGATAAGTACCATTTAAATTAAGGTTTGTTTTACTAACAATCTATGACTATTGTTGGTCGAAATAAAGGATTTATTATATTATTATTATATTAACCCTAAGGGATTAGGTTTGTTAGGGTTATATTGACGAATACAACATTGACCACTAAACGGAATGATCATTTCATCAAGAGACATTTTTGCTGTGCGAGGTTGAAGTAAACATCCTTGTCGTACTTTCTCGAAAAGGGGACGCACTTTCCAAATTTGTCTTTTTGACGCTCTTCGACGGTAACACCAAGATCATAAACCACTTTTAACGACGTTCTAATTGCGTAAAACGCAGACGTGTCATAGCTGATGTTATGATAGGCCGTTTCCATCGACCAATACATGTCTATTTGAGGATATTGTAATGAAGCCATAATCATTGTCACTCCAATATAAGCTTTTAATTCTTTAACTGTAAGACCAAGTGACCTGCCTTTTACATGAACAGCTGTTCTGTTTGTACAATCCACAATTTGTAAGAATATTTGTTCATCTATATAACGTCCAAAGAACTGTTCGTATGACCATCCATGGTCGAAATTTGGCACGTATATTGGTTCATACAGATTTATTTCGAGAGGTTCAAAATTTCTAGTCCATAAATCCACAACATCAGGTTGAGATTGAGACGGTATTTGTCTGTAGGTTGGCTGAGCTAACCTTCGAGGGCGACGAGAAGATCATGCTCGGCGTAAACCAGAGCCAGTTGCCTGGCGTATTATAGATCCACTCGAAAAAGCCGGCGATGGTGGCTCAACAACTTCATGGGAGTCTGAATTTACAGAAGAATCACTAGAACCATACCTTCGACGCTCTTGTGTAGCGATTTCCGTGGGTTCATTATATGTGGGATCTTGGGTATCATCGTCGCTGCTAAAATGACATCAGATTCTTCTAGTAATGCTAGCACGGTATCGTCAGAATAGGCTAAAACAAATATAAAATAAAATATTATTTACATAATTCCCTTACAGGTACCTATACACAGGACATAACAATATTGCAGTCTGCATGATTCCTAAATACAAGACATATAATCTTTATCCCCAATGAAAATAAAAAGATTCAGAAAGATTGAACTTACCAATGCCCGAGCGCGGCTCGATACGTCTGGATCTCGAAGCCATTTTGGCAGAATTGACCTTCAATTGAGCTCTCAAATATTTTTCTATACCTACAACAATCTTCAATAGATGTCGCTAGGGGTTATTATTTGACGTGACGTGAATATTTAACTCGCAAGATTTTTTATATTTTTATGTTCTATACGTAGTACAAGTTCAGTGAGGAGGTTAAGGGGGAGTAGTACTTATTAACCTGACTGGCTCCGAAGAATACACGCTATTATTATTAACTTGTTCTAATGTAATAGGTAGAAGTGGTTTCTTTTGATTTTGACAGTACCTGTCTTAACAGACTTATGATAATAGTTAATAGTAAAAAAATATTAGTTCCAGGTAATACTTTTCAGGCAATATTTATATGGTAAAACTTCTTCTAAATATATATACAAAATATACTTTATTATTTTATTTATTTAACTACATATTATAAAATTTTGAAGGTACAAAAGCTGTGTCACTACTGTATTGTAAAATCGAGATGTGAAAGCTCGGGTGCGCCATGAAATTCCTGGCGCTCACTACGAATTGGTCGTGTAAAAACTAAAAACTATACTCTGTAAGCGATCTAGCGCTTCATGTTTTAGATTGGTTGGATGACATAACAATTTTTAGCGCTGCAGCGAATACCCCAGTCCACGGTGCGCTCGCTCGCGCACACAGTACTTTTTATACCTACTCGCGCAGACCATTAGCATAGTATAAAGAGAGGGGAAGTACGTTATTTTCATACAAACGCACTGCGCGCGGCGGCGCGGCTTGTATGTGTGCGCCATAGTATCTATGAGTATGAGGCGCCGCACGCACACTTAAACACAATCACGAAGTGTTTCTCAGCGCGCCAGTCGGGGCTAACACCGCACGAGGTTCAAGGTTCGCGCGTCACGGCTGTTCGGCACCGCTAAATGAATGAAAAATGTGTGATAATCGCAGGAGAACGTATTGCTGTGTGTTTGGGTGTCTTAATAATTCATCGATTCCAGAATTGTCTCTGTTCAGATTACCTATTGAACAGGACAGGTAAGCGAGTCACTTATTATAGCATATAATTTTTACTTGACGATGAGATACCTACTTACTTATTTTTGTTGTATTAGTTGTCTATCAGACAGAGGAAGAATAGTAACTAAGTACCTACTTACGGTTATAAAATCGTAATTAAAAATAAGTAATTGACTAATTGTGAATCAGATAAATAGAGCAAAGTTCGAATAATAACAACAGAACAAAAAATTGATTACAGTCTAAGAGGCAGGCGTTAGTAATTTTATGTTATTGTACGATGTTTTTTTTTTTACAATATTTTAGTCGCTTTATTCAATTTTTTTTATTATAGATGTATATTAAATTTGCTTTCCATTTCAGACGCCTTCAGTGGCTGCGTTTAATTGACCGCGAGGATTTGAAAAATAAATCTCAACCATACCATGTTGTTTGTGAAGCCCATTTCCACCCAGAAGACATAATGAGAAACAGCGTTAGAAAATTACTGAAAAAAAATTGTCTGCCGAGTTTAAATTTGCCTAATCTGAAAAAACATACACAAGTGGAAATAACAACTTCATATAATAAGTCAAGTCAAACAGAAACTAGTGCTTCAGGATCAAATTTAGATTTAACTATTGCCACTTCATCATGCCAAACGGATTTTAACACCACGGATAACCTAACACAAACTACTGCATGTCTTTCTGCAAGTACTATACTTTTTTTGTAAATAATACTGCTCTGAATCTTAATACATTTCTGTATTTGTTAGGAAAACCATTGTTGAACTTTATCGACTAATGATCACTGAATTAATTATACAGAAATGCATTATCTTTGGCAAGGGCCGGGCTTTAAACTAATGATTTGGTGACAGTGACAACCCTGAGACGGTAGGCAATTATATCGCGGATTGGGCCGGAGATAACCTACTTGGCCTCTTTATACTATGCCATTCGTCTTTGAAATGTGAAATAGATAAGCTGCTCGGTCATTTTAAAGATGAACTAGTAAGGAGCGATCATCGCTCCGTACTAGTTCATTTCGGACAGTGAACTAGTTCGTTCTATTAGTTCTTTTCAGTCATATTCTATTAACCTGTTTAAATTATATCTATGTGGAATAGTTATCTCAGTCAGTCACTGACTGAATCAGAGAGGCATTTCTCGGCTCTTGTCTACGTTAATTAATTAATTATTAATTTGTGCTTGTATCTTTGATTGGCTACTGACCGATTCTGGAGTTACGTTTACGTTTGATATTGGTGTCTTGCAAGTATAATGTGCAAGTTGCAAGTATAAGTGTACGAAAAGAGCTGTAAAAGTGATTAACAATCAGCGTTCGGAAACGTTTCTTTTATAGTTCGGCCGTTCAGAGAATGCGTTCCTGACACGTCGCGATTGAACTGACGACGTAACTTTGTAATGGCGTTGCAGTTACGATAAAAATGTTTTTGCTGGTTGTTTACCGTTTTAACAATTGATGAGCATTAAAACAACATTATTGTATCAATAATCAATGAATGTTATAATTTTGTGCCAAACTGAGTGTCAAATAACTTGGTAAACAATATTTTTCTAAATCTATACTGCGCTATTACAAGGTTATGTCATCGCTTTATATTTGTAGTGCTGTGCTAACAATAACAGGCAATAACAGTATCGTAATCTGTTCTTACACAGTTATACTTTATAAAATAATACGTTTTGTTTTTCTTTTTAAGAATTTGAAAATAAATAAAGGACTATAAGATAACTTTTATTAAATATAAAAATAAAACTACGACCAAACCGAACCGGCGAAACAAAGTAGCATTTTTATATTTAGGTTGAAAATGGTAACCCCAAATGGCGTTATGGGCCGCCATTTTGTGACGTCAAAACATTCGTCTGTTGTCGTTTCGTGCGCATAGACCACGTTCTTCAAGTGTTTTCGATCTGATTTTATTTGATTACCCGGCTTTCGTTTAATGGACTGTTTCTGCTTTTCAAACTGACATCGGCGCTAAATCGGACTTCGATTGTGAAAAAACAGACAAAATAAAAATTTTATTAGAACGATACGACATAATTTTAAAACGGATAAGTTTTTTGAGAGAAGCAAAAAATATTGATAACTGGGATAATGTCGTGTTCATTGACGAGACATGGCTAAACGCCAATCACACGGTTTCCCGTTCTTGGACGGATGATACACAAGCGTCGACGTCGAAAGTACCAATGGGTAAGGGGGCCCGTCTGATAATATGCCACGCAGGTTCTAAAAAATACGGCTTTGTGGAGAACGCGTTACTGGCATTTCAATCAAAAACCACAAATGACTACCACGAGGAAATGACTCTTGAATGACTAGTTCTCCCATAAATCCAAGATTCTACAAGCGGTACGTAGACGACACTTTCACAATTCTACCTTTAGACAAAGTAACTGCATTTTTAGACCATCTTAACTCTATAAATTCTAAAATTCAGTTCACAATGGAGTTAGAGGCAAACAATTCCTTAGCTTTTCTAGATGTGTTAGTAATTCGGAATCCTGATAACACCTTGAGCCATACTGTGTATAGAAAAAAGACCCATACAGATAGATATTTAAACGGTGATTCTCACCACCATCCTTCACAGTTAGCTACCGTGGGTAAATCTTTGTTTCAGAGAGCACGAGGGATCTGTGACAGTAAACACCTGGCTGCAGAGCTCCACCATGTCAAGCAAGTTTTGCATGACAACTAGCTTCGAGTCCCGCGCTTAAGTCACAGTGAACGAGTGAAGCCGGCCACAGTCGAGCGTGTACTTGCTGTACTGCCATATGTTAGAGGAGTCACTGACAAGATTGGCTACATCTTGAAGCGCGCTTCCATCAAAACATACTTCAAGCCGCTGAAGAAGATTGGTCAGTTTTTACCATCAGTCAAGTGTAATGTCCCTCTGCAAGATGCAGGAGTGTACAAGCTTGATTGTGAATGTGGTCTCTCCTACATAGGACAAACTAAAAGATCAATAAAAACCCGCGTTAAAGAACATATAGCTGATGTGAAGAATCGACGCTCCGGGAAGTCTGCAGTCTGTGAACACGTACAGGATCGCCCCCGTCACTACATCAGATTTGATAGACCGCAAATCCTCGCTAAAGAACACCGATTACTTCCAAGAATGATTCGCGAGGCTATTGAAATCAAAAAACATCCTAATTTCAATAGAGAAGATGGCTGGGTGCTACCATCTGCTTGGGATCCTATAATAAATAAAATTAAATCCCATCCCAAGCATACAACTGCAAGACTTCAAGGTACCATAAGTTCATACTGCATAGATCGGAACAAAAGTTAAATTTTAATCTATGGTAACCGCGGTTAACTATGACATATGGACGTTGAACATCTCAGTCCCGCCCGTGACCATGAGTGCTGTAAAGCGTTCGAAACGTCGGGTATTTAAAAAGTTAAATATACGCGATAAACTCCGTAAAAACTAGTATTATTTCAATGTGTAGTGTTCGCGTAAATATAAGAAATCATTAGACTAAAAACCTGATTGTGGAACATTTTGACCGAGATATCAGGATTGATTCTGTTATTGATAATAATATAATTATACATGTAGGCGAAGAAGATGATGAAGACACCACCTCCTCAAGCGAATCGGAGTCTGATTAATATTCTGTAGGCACATTCAATTCAATGTACTTTATTGCATAGAAATACAGATTGTAACTTTGTAACAAAGAATAAATAAAACAATTTTATTATATTAATATTACCTTTTTTTGGTTTCCACTTAAATTACTAAAATATAAATTTTAAATGATTCCGCCAATTTAAAACGAAAATAATCTTAAAAATAACGCGGCGGTTTATTTTGGAGGAACGGTAACGAACTCAGTTCAGATTATGTTGTGCCCATCACTAGTCGTGAGTAACTGATAGGTGTCAGGAACGCATTCTCTGAACGGCCGAACTATAGTACAGTGCCAAGATACGTTTGCTAATCGTTCATCGTTCGCGAACTACACAGTACACAAGACTACATACTACAGTACAGGCCATCGGCCATCGCCGGCAATAACATGCGAGTGTGACACGTTTTTCTGTTTGAAATAACTTCTATATTTACTAGTCATGCAACAGAAATCTGTTTCTGGTTCCGCAACTGCGGAAGTTCTACATGGTTTTTAACATCCGTTTCTGCTTCTGTTTCCGCAAGTTTTATAACGGAAGTTTGAACGGAACTCAGCGAGCAGCCACATGATTAGATAAAATTCCGTTTAACCACTCATGTGACGCAGCGGACGAGGGACGCGCGCATCATTCGATAGTGGAGCGCGTGTAAGAGCAGGGAGGGGCATTTCAGCCAACCACAATCGAGCTGGGCACGTGCTTTTGGCATTTGTCCAAACGGGTTTGACTACATACTTTTTTAACTTCTTTATTATACGTCGTGACGTGAGTGTAAGTGCGTGAGATTTTTTGTTATTGTTTCTTTTAGTTAATTAGTAATTTGATTCGTGTGTAACTTAAGTGCAATCATGAAGCCAAAAACAAGTCCTGTTTGGAACTATTATGTTGAGATTGATGATTTAGCAGCCAGATGTAAATTATGTGATAAAATATACTCTCGAAAAGGCCGCACAACTACCGCTTTAAAGAGCCATCTTAAAGCGATGCACGCCGAAGAGTTTGCAGAGTTCGAGAAATTAGTTGAAACTGTAAAACTTTCATCGCAAACTAAAAATCAAGTGGTTAGTGGAATTGCATACATATTTATTTATAAAATGTATTCCTATTTTATAATTAAAACTCATGTTTAGTTAAAACGTGTTTCTCTGGTTAAAACTTGTTATTACTAAATGCCTTTGTTACAACTTAGATTTGTAAAATTAATTAAGCAGTTACGTTTACGTGAAGTTTATATTAAGTATTTATTTTTTACTTGAAGTTTATATTAATTATTTTTAAAGACATTTAAGAGTATTTTTGATTCAAAGTTCGTTTACATCGTACTTTTGTGCTAGGGCTGTACTAAATTTTATACTCGTTAAACGTAAATGTGGCTCTTTACAAAGATTTAAATCTTTGGCTCTCTAAAGGGTCTGCCCATATTTCAGTGCCAATTTAGGTTTGGTTTGTAGGTACGCAGCATCGCCAGTGAGCAATTATTTAGCAGAGTTGGACTTATATATGAACAACACCGGAACAGATTGTTAGGTGTAAAAGCGGTTAAACTACTACATATTCATAAAGTATAACTTACCGCTACTTAATTTTGAATGTTAATTACAAGTTTTATTTGTAATTTTTAAGTAGTACCTAATTCCCCTTCGAATCCGTTTCTGTTTCCGTTTTTGGTTCCGATATGACACTTTCGTTGCATCACTAATATTTACATAGTACCTACTTATAAACTTATAACCCCAGGGACTGACTGATAAACCGGTATAATCCATACGGGGTTCCCTATTTTTCCGGTTACAACAATTAGTTTTTTACTAATTTTTATTTAATAATTATTCTAAGTTGAAAAGAACCAATACCGAAATAAAAATAATCTGTTTCTTACATGTACCGTTGGCAACGGCATTGGTAAAAGGGCGCGCATCATGGTCCACCATGGCTCTTACAGCCACGCCACCAGGCATTATTACGGTTTGCTAGAGTGTGTAAAGATTGTTTAGTTAGCTTTTGTATAAATTATCTATCTATAATACTATATATATATAAAAAAAAAAAAAAAAA